TGCACTGTTATTTTGCGTAGCTAACACTCCCCCCCTCTTTTCGCTATTTCCGCGGACGCACAGGAGCATCTACACTCTCTCTTCTTTAATCTAAAGAGGGAGAGATTTAGTTAGGGGGGGTTCTCTCCCCCGAACGGTTTTCTTTTTTTTTTTTTTTTGGGAGAGGGGGGGGCGAACCCTTGTCGTCGACAAAGACTTTGCCCTTCTTCTTTCCTCGCGGCTTGGTTACGCCTACGGGGGTGATCATGTTGAGTTCGGGGATGCCCAATTCCTTTTCTGTGTAGACCCTCTGCTTCTTTTTCTTGTTCTTGTCGAGTCCTGGCAGGTTGGGCCTGCCCTTGATCTGTGTCGCTGGGACTTTGGCTTTGGGCCCGGATTTGCCTTTGGGCTTAGAGATGCCGCCGTCGGAAGACTTTCTCGGGCCCTTGCCGCCACTCGAGCCGCCGGCCTTGGGAGCGGCGTGCTTGTTTTTTATTGTGCGTGTGGGCGCCATTGAGGTGGTTGATGAATGGCAACGACGGGTAGCTGCTTGATGGTGGTTGTCCGACGCTGTGCTTTCAAGCGCAAGCTTCAAAAATTTCGGGAACGGCTTCCTTATCGTGGCTCTTATCGGCCGACATTGGTGGGGCTTTCAGGGGTCTTGGCCGATTTCCTGTCTTCGGCAGGCAATGGATATTCGCACCCCATTTCAAATGCCCGCACCCCGTTCATTTCACTGAGATCCCAGCATTTGTCAATTCCTAAAAACAATTGCACCCAGTTCGACGAAGTCAATTGCGGGTAATTTGTTCATAGGGTTCAACGAATACTGGCATCAGAGGTGTTGCAATGAATGTGGTTGGCCAATGTACATCTTGCCTTGGGGGGTGCGTGTAAGTTTCAGGTGGGGTTTTCTTCCCGCGCAGTTCGCACCAAGCGCGGGGTTGTGGGTTGCTTAAGAGTTGCCCCCGCCGATCGCGGTGGTGAAGCTCAAAATTTCCGAGTGAAGGAAAGTTGATATTTGGAGAATTGGATCCCCTACTTGGTATTATCAGACAGAACCAGAGTAAAGACCAAAATGAGCTCATCACAACCTTCGCCCCGGTGGGCCGCCTTTGCGCGGGACACCAACGAGACCAAGATCCAGATCGCCCTCAACCTCGACGGCGGCGCATTCCCGCCAGACACGGACGCCCGTTTGCAAGTAAGCGGCTCCGATAGCCATGCCGCCCAGTCAAGCAAGTCGCAGACAATCAGCGTCAACACGGGCATCGGCTTCCTCGACCACATGCTGCACGCCCTGGCCAAGCATGCAGGCTGGAGTCTGGCGCTGGCCTGCAAGGGCGATCTGCATAGTGAGTTCACCGTCCCCCTCCCTCCCGTCACCAACCACAAGCAACCTCATACTGACCATCACCCAGTCGACGACCACCACACAGCCGAAGACGTGTGCATCTCGCTCGGGTACGCATTCGCGCAGGCGCTGGGCACGCCCACGGGGCTGGCGCGGTTCGGGTACGCGTACGCGCCTCTAGACGAAGCACTGAGCCGGGCGGTGGTCGACCTGTCGAACCGGCCGTTCTGCGTGGCGGACCTGGGGCTCAAGCGCGAGAAGATCGGCGACCTCAGCACCGAGATGATCCCGCACTGCCTGCAGAGCTTTGCCGGCGCCGCCCGCATCACCCTGCACGTCGACTGCTTGCGCGGCGACAACGACCACCACCGCGCCGAGAGCGCCTTTAAGGCGCTGGCCGTGGCTGTTCGCCAGGCGACGAGCCGCGTTGCGGGGCGGGAGGGGGAGGTGCCGAGTACGAAGGGGACGTTGAGTGTTTAGGCTGCGGGGGTTGTGGGTGGTGGTCTGTGAAGGTTAGGGCGGACGACCGAGGGGTGGTGGCATCGGTTCGGGCTGATGGTTTGAGCGCAGTTGAAGGGGGATGGATGACATATAGATACTTTGGGTATGAGAACGGGATTGGGAATAGAGAAAGATCAAAAACACCTGCTAGCTTATCAGTTGCCTTGTAGCCTAGTAACCCACCATATGGCTAAGGGGGGCTTGGCGGCGCAGAACCCTAGATCATGCTCCGCTTGACTCACTAGCGCCTACAGCCAACGTGTCAAGGCGGTCCATAAAATCTTGGAAGCCGAACAGGAGCGGTCACAGGAGCGGCCTGGCCCTACTCGAACTAACCCGGGCTTACATCAAGAGTAACCAGACCCCGGTTAGAAAATACCCCTGGGTCCATAGTATAGTCGCTGCCATAGTGTAATAGAAGAGCTATGAGGAGGGGACTGGAGCGAGAAAGAGGGAATCTAACAGCCAGAAGATAAAAAGGGGATACTAGAGCAGGATCAGGGGGTAAAAAGGGTGGGGGTACATCAACATGTAAATCTTCACAGCGTGCTAGGGACATGAACGGGGAAGGATAGGGACATGAACGGGGAAGGATAGGGACATGAACGGGGAAGGATAGGGACATGAACGGGGAAGGATAGGGACATGAACGGGGAAGGATAGGGACATGAACGGGGAAGGATAGGGACATGAACGGGGAAGGATAGGGACATGAACGGGGAAGGATAGGGACATGAACGGGGAAGGACATGGTAGAGCTGGGCGTCCTACCAGGACAGACGCACTTGTTAAATTCAATAAAAAAACACGACCTCCAACAAATACAATGGCCCCATAGCTCAATTGGTAGTAGCGTTCGACTCCAGATCGAAAGGTTATCCGTTCAAGTCGGGTTGGGGTCACTCTAATCTTTTCTTGGTTACATCGACGGATCCTCCCGTCGCCATCCTTTTTGCTCCCCACTACGCTAGGTCAGTTGGGAACTGAACTTCTGAGTGAGAACTTCCATTGCTCTAGCAGTACTGTAACGAGGTTCAAGATCCATTGCTCTTCCCAACCTGTTACGAAGAGAAGCGGTGGAAGATCTGCATAACAAAAGAAAATAGGGAAACCCTAGCAATAAAGAGGTAATCTGGAGAGTATAAAAACTCAGGAACCCGGGAATCCAAGGAGTTCCCGCAGGGTTATCTCTTCTTACTCTATCATCATGAAGCCGAGGTTTCCATGAAGATGGAAGAGGGCAACTGATCCGACTCTATGAATACCTGTGTGTCAAACCCCTCGCCGCCGCGAAACTTGACGCCGGCCTGGGCGTGGCGTGGTGGTTATCGGCGCCTTAGCGATTAGCACTTCGCTTCTGGGCAAACCATACATCCTGCGGATAATGTCATAATTCCTCTCCGGGCTTGTGGGAAATCTGTAATGCTGTAGATGGTATTCCCTATATCTCCACGCGTCGCCATCGACGAGCGATTCTCTGACTGCCGAGATCTGGTTGACAGTCGTCTATCCCGAAGAATGTCTGTGATGATCACCGGATGGCACTTCATCGATCGGCCCCTCCGGCATTTTCTCTTGCGCGGAGTCTTCCATTTGAATTTAAATGGATGGTTGGCATAGTTGTGTGGGATATGGAGTGGACAAAAAGACAAAAGAAGTTGGGGACTTTTTGTCAGAACGGTTCCGCGGCCCCACAACAAAGTATGACCTCACACCACTTCCCTAAAATCTCCAGACTGAAAGCGGCCTACGATACAAACCTATGGCACATTCCAGGGGTGCGCAAACGTGAAATCGGGTTGACCAGTTTTATACACTGCATCCTGCCACTGGCGCACCCGCCGATCAAGTGCAACCCGGTTTTCGGCATACAACACCGAATCCCGAGCACCAGCGGAAGCTCAGCTCAGGGAGCTTGCCGCCACAGAGCAACCCTGTAGGGGACCTGTCCTCTGCAGACTAGCTGTAAATTCTTACCTACACGCTCACAAGACGACCAAGTACACCCGGTCAAAGACGGGGAGATAAAACCACCACCTACCATCCCAGCCCGGGCATTGGATTCTCACGCGACCAAATCCCATTCCGGGAACCCCGCACACCCCAGCCAACCCTCCCTCCGCCCTGTCCTAGACGTGATGCGCTCCGCCAACGACACCAAGCACGAGGAGGCGGTCGACGCGTCGTGGGAAGCCTCCCGCGGCGCTGTCGTGGGCGCCGTCAAGTGGGGCCTTGCCACGGCTGTCCTCGGCGGCATCGGGTATGCCATGTCGCCGGTGTATCGGGGGCTCACGATTCAGTTTAAGGTGTACGTTGCCATCTCTCTTCTTTACGAATCACTTTTCTTTTTTCTCCTGATTCTTTTTATCTTCTTTTCTTCCTTCTCATGCATAGCAAGAGAGCCATCGAGGAAGAGGCAAAGCTGATCATGTTGGCAGATACATCCAAATGTCGGGCATGGTACTGGGGAGCATGATCGAGGCGGATTCGAGGTTACGGCAGTACGAGGCGCGGATGAGGGTGCAGAGGCGGTTGGCGAGCGAGCGAGCTTACTGGGAAAGGTTTGAGAAGGAGTACGGAAAGGATGATGATGAATAGAGGGGGGTTCATTGTGGAATGGGAACGGCGCCGTGTATTATGTCAAGAGAGTGTATATATCCCCTTTTTCACGTCCAGCTAATGAAGGCTTCCATTGGGTATCATGATTCCTCGTCTATTTCATCACTTCGTAGCCAGCTCAAACTTCGCCGGGTCCATGTTCAGCTTGCACAGCCGCGCGACACACCCGCTCAGCTGCAACAGCGTCTGCACGCCCTCCAGGATCTTCATATGCGTGAACCCGATTTCCTTGATAAACTCCAGCTTGGCGTGCTCGCTCAGCGTCGGGATGGTTTTGGTGACCTTGAACATGGTGCTGATGATGTCGTGGCTCGAGTAGCCGAGGTCCCACAGCTCGCGGAGCGTGTCGAGCGCCGAGTCGATGTTGCCCTCGTAGCACGCCTTGAGCATGGCCTGCACCTTGATCGGGTGCGGCGAGTCCACCACCTTGAACACGTTGTCGGCCGACACGAACCCGAACCCCGCAAACGTCGACTGTAGGTTGTTGATGGCCTGCCGCATGTCGCCCTCGGCGCTGAACACCAGCGCCGCCAGCCCCTCGTCGTTGTACTCGACTTTCTCCGCCTCGATGATCTGCAGCAGCCGCTTGACCACCTGCGCGTCTGTCAGCTTGGCGTACCGCAGGATGGCGCAGCGTGACTGCAGCGGCTCGATGATCTTGTTGGACTGGTTGCATGCGAAGGCGAAGCGTGTGGTGTTGGAGTAGATCTCCATCGTTCGTCGGAGGGCTTGCTGCGCGCCTGAGGTCATGCTGTCGGCTTCATCGAGGATCACGATTTTGTGTCGCCCTTGCGGGAGGGTGACTTTCTTTTGGGCAAAGCCCTTGATTCGTTGCCGGACGACTTCGATACCTATGGTTGGGTGGTTAGCGGCAGCGACCTGGGAGCATTAGGAGGCGGCATACCTCTCTCGTCACTGGCGTTCAACTCCAACACCGCTTCCTTGTATGAGTCGCCTAGTAATTGCCTCGACAGGCACAGCACGCTGGTCGTCTTGCCAATACCGGGCATGCCCGAGATGATGAGGTGCGGCATGTTGCCATCGCGGGCAATGATCTTTAGCCGCTCGATGGTCTCTGTGTTGCCCACAATGTCGTCGAGAAATACGGGCCTGTATTTCTCAACCCTACTTAGGCGTGAGTGGATTTACCTTTTTGCGAGATCAGAAGGACTCACCAGGGGAGCTCGTAGGTGGGATTGCCGGTCGGATTCGCCGCGTGCGCCTTGTAGGCGGCGGTCGAGGATTCACCCTTTTCTTCGCCTTTTGCTAGCGCCATAGTGACTGAAGTGTTGGCCAAAACCGTGAGAATTTGGGTGGTGAAGTGGTGTGTGCTAGTCTTGTCGGGTGCCTGGAAGCTGGCTTGGAGTTTTAGGACCGCGACGCGTCTAACGCGGTTCTGATTTAAGTGGTTTGCAGGTAACCCTAACCCTCTCTTTACAGCGCGGCGAGGGTCATCCAGCAGCTTCACCATACAGATTGTTTGTGACCATGATTGAGGATAGTTCAAGGTAGTTTTACTGTCTTCGCGCTATCCAAATCTCTTTACTCTAGTATTGCCCATCTAAAGACTCTACTGCCGGTGTTCCACCCTTAACACACCGTCTAAGTGCGATAATCGCCGTTGATAGTACTGTATAATCATGTTAGCCAAAAGTCGAGACGTAATACTTCTTGGTTACTCACATATACTCGTGGCTATAGTCGCAGGTCCAGTAAGTCGCCTGCTTGTCACCCTGCCCCAAGCGGACTAGGATCTCAAGATCCTCGAGTTCCAGAATTTCAGCAGCTCTCGCCTACATCATGTCAGCAGCGAGTCTCGCCCCATAGTCTTCAAGATATCTCACCTCGTCCACCTTCTCCGGCTCCCCGTTGACCAGGAGCTTCAGCTCGGCCGTGCCATCGGTAGGAATAAACGACACATTCGTCTTCTCGGGAGCGATCTCGGGCACATCATTGATGGGTTGCCCCGGCTCCGAAATCAGCGAGTACCCAGTGGCGCACAAGATACGGCCCCAGTTGGCGTCCTTGCCATACAGGGCCGTCTTGACGAGCGGCGACCTGGCAATGGTGCTGGCGATCCGGCGCGCGGCCTCCTCGCTGGCTGACTCGGTCACGCGCACCGTGACAAACTTGGTCGCGCCCTCGCCGTCGCGCACAACCAGCTGGGCCAGCTCGGCCGCAAAGTCGGTCAGCACCGCCCGGAAGGCGTCGTAGTCGGGGGTACCCTCCGCGACCTCCTTGCCGCCTGCGGCGCCGTTGGCAAACAGGGCGACCGTGTCGTTGGTGGAGGTGTCGCCGTCGATGGTGATGCTGTTGAACGAGCGGTCGACGGCGTGCTTGAGCGCCGAGGGGAGGGCGGCCGAGGTGATGGGTGCGTCTGTGGCGATGACGCCCAGCAGCGTGGCCATGTTGGGGTGGATCATCCCCGCGCCCTTGGTCATACCCGCTATCCTGTACTCGACGCCCGGCGAGGAGGGCAGGGCGAAGGTGCGAGACATGAGTTTGGGAAAGGTGTCGGTCGTGCAGATGGCCTTAGCCGCCGCCAGCCAGTGGTCGTGGGAACCCCCAAGGGCGCCGTGCGCGGAAGGGACCTTGTTGAGAATCTTGTCGATGGGGAGCCGCTGGCCGATCACGCCGGTGCTCATGACGATGGTGCTCTCGTTCTGACCAGTGCACTTATCCGCTTCTTGGGCCATTTTGGTGGCATCCTCCAGGCCGCCCTTGCCCGTGACGGCATTGGCGCATCCCGAGTTGATGATGACGCTCTGGATTCCCTGGTTCTTCCTCCTCTCGAGGAGGTTTCGGCTAAAAGTGACGGGAGCCGCTTGGAACTTGTTCTTGGTGAAGACGGCAGCGGCAACACAAGGCGCGTCTGATGTCAACAGAGCCAGGTCCGGCTTCGTCGTGTTACTCGGCTTGACACCAACTATGGTACCAGAAGTCCGGAACCCGAGAGGATAGGTCCCCTTGGTCGGGACATACTTCTTCTTGGCGGCGGGGATGGAGCCGTTGGAGGGTGCAGAATAGGCCCGGGACGGCGTGCGACCAAGTTGACGGGCCAATTGAAGCCGGGGTTGCCTCAATTGATGTAGAAAGAAGCCATTACAACCCGCCATGGCCATCTCCAAATTCTGTCTCTGGAAACTGGTGGTGGGATCAAAAAAGTGGTTGAGTCGCTGTTCTACACATATACAATAAGACTTGGAATGCCCGTCACCGCGCGGAAAGGAAGAAATGTGTTAGCGGGCCCGGAGCTAGCCTGGGACTGTTGTAAAAAATACAAAGAGTGATTGTGTAGGCACCCAAGGCACGGCATACAAAATCTAGACTTTATAACCTCCCATTCTATTCTTTGAGTCATCCTCCCATTTTTCCAGCGGGGATGGCGTCGATGAAATGAAGGAAGGGTCAACGGCTTGTCGATGAAGGGCGTGCTACGGCATTAGCCACAGTGATACCCGACTGAAGGTTGTGGGGTGTGGCTCCGGAACTTTTGCGCCGAGCCGGCCGTGGCTCGCCCCGTTTACTCCACCCAGCCTGCCTCCATAAAAACATTTCTGTTTGCTGCAAATTTCTTCTTTCTTCCATCCTCTGACCAAGCTCCAAAAAGACACGAATCACCAACGGTGTCTCGTGGGAGCCGCGTTTCGTTGACCCGGCCATCTGGGCCTTTCACTGCACCTCCCCCCAAAACCTCCCCTGCCATGCCTTCCTGAGTTTCGCGTTCTGAACTTGGGAGCTTCTCGCGAAAGATCGAGACACCAAACCAAACCGAAAATTCTTCCCCAGCCAGCCCTTGCTTTCTTTCATTCATCACACAACCGCCACCACCATGTCATCAGAAATCATGGACGCCTACTGGGCGGCGCCGCCAATGGCCCGCACGCTAGCGACCGCGATTGTCGTTATGTCGATCCCGGTGCATTTCCAGATGGTGTCGTACGTTTGGTTCTACTTCACCGAGGACACGCTCTTGCGCTTTCCGCCTGAGATATGGCGTCTGGCTACGTGCTTCCTCCTAAGCGGTCCGAAGCTCGGCATCATCATGGACCCCTACTTCGGTATGGGTGCTCCGGCAAATCTCCCAGCGACGAGTGTTGTCTGACTTTGCGAAACAGCCTACCAGTACCTGAAGCAGCTCGAGACGGCGAACTCCAAATTCCCCAGGAAGGAGGACGTTCTCTGGTATCTGATGACCGTCGGCAGCTTCATCATTGTAGGTCCATCTCCTTTTTTCTTCCTCAATTGCAACCCAACACCTCGTATATCTGCCCGCATGGTGCTATTTTCTCAACCATTGCGGTTCCTGGAAACGAGGGAGATCACCCCCGTATGTCGACCGGCCCGTCATTCGCATAATATCAAAGGGTCGGTCGGGGTGCGGGAATGGTGGGATGTCTTATGGATGACTCGGGCGACGCTCTCCGTTCTCCCGGGTGGTTATTTAGCTCCCTACATTATAACGACCAATACTGGGGGTTGTCTCTGATTCCTGCCTCGGCAGTCCATGACGGGAAAGCTAACAGTAAACGCAGCTGCTCAACCGAGTCTTCCTGGGAGGCGGCTTCTTCCTCGATGGACTGCTCATGGCCTTGGCCTACACGGCTAGCCAGGACCAGCGCGGCGCGAAGACGAATTTTTTCTTCTTCACCGTGCCAGCACAAACGGTCCCGTATTGCATGCTCCTCGCGTCGCTCCTCATGAACCCGATGGCCATTCCCCTGCAGATCACAGGCATCGTAGCGGCCCATCTCCACGACTTTCTCTTCCGCCTGTGGCCGGAGTTTGGAGGTGGTCGGAATATTTTGGCGACTCCTGGCTTCGTCTCGTACTTGGTTAAGACCCCTAGAATCCTGGAGCGCGGGTATGGCACGGCCATCCGCCAGCCCACTGCGGCGGGCTCTGGTAGCAGCACGGGGGCGTCGACGGGCTCGGTGCTTCCCGACTCGTGGAAGACGAGGGGCAGTGGACAGCGCCTAGGCGGTAACTGAAGCAGAGTACGCATAGTGTATAACAAATGCAATCCCATCACGCGTCGATTTACACACTTCTTGAGTCTCATTGTGTTGTACGTTGAAACTATCTTGACTTGGGAGGCCGGCTATCGTGTGTGAATCATGTACACCAGCCGATGTTTCCCAATTTGTATCAGACAACTATATCCACGAACCGATCCAGTAGCACCTCTTGAACTCCAGAGCAGAAGCCAGCTCACAACCGTGAAGCCCATGGGGGCCCTGAACCCGGGGAAGTAAAGAACACAAAACGCCAAACACCGCCGTCCAGATCCGATCCCAACCAGTCCCATCCCAAACCCCATACCCCGCCGATACAGAGGGTATCCCCGAGTAAAGCCCAATAAACAAAAAAGGAGTGTGCGCAACGACACCAACAACTACCGGTAATCCACACGAGCTCAAATCACCAGATATCGCTCCCCCGCCCGATCTCAATCTCGGCGTAATGCCGATTCCCCCCATACCCACCCCCGCTATTCCGATCCGACCGTTTCCGCCCATGCTTCTTCCCCTTCTCCTTCTCCTTCCCACCACCACCACTCCCACTCCCCTGCCCACTACCACCATCATGCGCATTCCCCGACAGCGCCCGACTCCGAAACGTCCGCCTGCTCTCACCACCACCACCACCACCACCACTCTCATCCCCATACCCATCCTCCCCACCCCACAAATCATCCGCATCATGGTCGTTGTTGCTCCGCCCCCACCGCGAGCGTGATTGCGACTGGGGCGGCGCCGCCGCCGCTGCCACGGGGGGCGGGTGTACGAGGTGGGGGAAGGCGAGCGGGCCCGAGATGGTGGTGGCTTCCTTGCCGGAGAGGGGCTTATCCGTCTTGCTGCGCTTCATCTGGGCGGTGGTGTCGGCGAGGTTGAGGCGCGGGGGCAGGTAGGCGCGGGGTTTGCGCGTGGTTTGTGGTTGGGGTGCGGGTTGCTGGTGGGGGTGGAGGGGGTGTTGGCTGGCGTCGGTGGAGGAGGCGGAGTGCGGGGGGGAGGTGAGGGAGGGGAGGGTGAGGCTGGGTTGGGAGTTTTGGCGGCTTTGGCTTTGGCTTTGGTTGCTGAGGGGGGCGGACTGGATGGGAAGGCCGAAGGAGGAGTCGGATTCGTGGTGCCGGTGGTTGGGGTTGGTGTTGGTGTTGCTGTAGGTGTGGCTGTCCTGGGAGGTGGTGGTGGTGGAGGTTGTCCGGGCGGTGGCCGCCCCGAGGTAGGCTTGGATCATGGCGTCGGGTGGTTGCGTTTTGGGGTGGGAGCCGCCGGATGGGAATGGCGGGCTTGGGAAGGGTGGTGGTGAGGCGGTAGCGATGGAGCGGTTGCTGGGGGTTGAGGAGCCCCTGACGAGGGCCCGCGGGATGTAAGCTGGGTGGGTGGGCATGGCGCTGGCGGCGTCCGGGGCGCTCATGGGCGAGAAGGAGTAGGATGCCTTCTCTGGCGAGTAAGTGTAGGATGAGGCCTGTTCGCCCTCGTGGTGTTGCGGGTTGTCCATCTTGTAGTCCAGGGTGTAAGTGACGGCGGGGGCCATGTTGCCTCGTAGTCCCCCCTCGTCGAAGCTTTCCGAGTCGGAGTTGTCTTCCCGGTCATAGCGCCGTTGTCGCCGCCAGTAAATCACAAAAAGGGCGGCTGCACCCAGGAAGAGCGCACCGGCGCCGCAAGCAATGCCGGCGATGGCACCGGCGGTGAGGGTGCCGCTGTCATCGTTGGCGTCCCGGGAGAGTATGGGCGAGGCGGGCGAAGCCATGTCGAAAGCACGGGCTCCCGTCAGAGCTGATCCAGTGGTTATGGCTATCCGAGCCCAGCCTGGCTCGGATATCTTGACTCTGATGGTGCCAAGCACCACAGTCGATCGCCGAGAAGTCCGAAACTAACGAACATGGGAAATTGAGAAAGAGGATGGGGCCGTTGGACTGAAATAAGAGGGCCAGAGAGGGCCAGCGAGAGAAGAGATGGGCAGCCACCGGGCCAGGGCTGGACTAGCTGCCGATGCGTGTGTGCAGTTGGTTCCGCTTGCCACCGGGGGTGCGGGCCTGGTTGCACAGTACAGGCCGTGAGAAGGCAACGGAGCAGGCTGCCAGGGAGGCAGTTTGTGAAAACACTGTGCGAGTAAGAATGGTAAATAAATGGCCAGATGGAGGGGTGCAAAAGATGAAATAAAAAGTGATAAACAACCTATCATCCTCACATTGTAAGCCACATCAAGCAGCATTTAGAGAGTCGCACTCAACCATCTCCCATCTCGTCCAGCACCACGTCTTCATCTTTTTGTCTCTCATCCCTTCTTTACTCACCCGTCACTTTCACCGTACTCCCACACTCTCCCGCACCCTCAGCTGCGGCTGTTGCCCTCAATCGCTGGTCGCACTGGGCCAGCTGCAGAGGCAGCCTTGGACCCTTTCCGAGGACCATCGGGCAGGCCCAGGTCAGCGCGGGGGCCAAGGCTGCCGCCAATCACATCGAGAACACAGACGCGACAATATGCAAGCAAGCAGAGACAAGAGGAAAGAGGGTGGGTGAGACGGGTCCAGCATTCATCGGCAGCCAATGGTAACGCGCCCATGTTTCGTTTGGCTGGCGCGTAAACTGCATGAGGTGGGCCGACGGAAGGTCCCGATGCCGTCTGACTGGCCAGACAAGCGAAACCCTGGAAGATCATCGCAGATCCACTGCAATCCGCTGAGAGGTGTGCAAGCTCCAGGTGGCCAATCGGGAGAGCAGGCCGTTCGGGCCAGGCAAACAAGCTTCCACACCATTCCTCTCGCCGTGTTATTCCCCACCACCGTTCGTCCAATGCCGACTTGTCCTTCTTGATGGCCGCCTTCTGAACAGAAGCCAAGACGTGATGGAAGCAATGCCGCGGCCGCCTCCGCACTTGGTTGTCTCGTTTATGATTCCCATCATCATGAGACTTGTTTCCTAGAAGGCGAAGAGAAAGCCTTGGCCTTTTAAACTCTAACGCCCAGAACAGAGGCCGCACTAAAACCCCGCCGCTAGTTACCTGCCGAAGCTACTAACTACACAGTACCTAGTGCCAGAATTAACCATCTCGCTCTCCCTCATCTCCACTCACTTATCCTCTCAACCTTTCTCATTACCGCCCACGCACGCATATGCCGGCGCAGCGACTGGCAGCCACGCCCAAAACCAGCATCATAACAATGCCTCCGTCTTATGGAGCCAACGGCGACCTCACAAGGCAAAAAGCCATAGTTTTCGGTGGGCAGGTAATTTAGTAGGGTGACGCCCGGCGCTAAGAACCAGTCTGTCGGGAACGTCCTTCCCGTGTTCCCCGCCCCTCGCACAGTTCAGAATCAAGCCTTGCCCAGTTGTCGCCATCACTTCATCCGCTCGAATTGCCGCTTGGCGTTTCCCAGTTTGTCAGCGACGTGATGGTCGGTTCCTGTCGGCGGTTCGTTGCCATACTTCCCACATACGTACTGTGTGTATGTACACTTGAGGCCACTTCATCGAGCTCCGGAAACTACCGGATATGGTCTTCGGCCGTATCTGGATGGATGCCATTGTGTAACCATCCCGGGAAATGCACTCATGGTCTTTGTGGAACACCAGCAGGGCTTGACTCCTATCCCGTCATTGATTCTCCCTTACTGTGCAGAGTGCCACTGCAGGCCGGCGATGGAGTGCCTGGGATGTCTGGGGCGAACCGCGCGGTCTTTCTGATCCTGCGGGGCTTTCATGGAGGCTGTTCTCCCACGATTTACCGCTCACCGAGATCAAAAGTGAAGTTGACCGAGATCCCAGAGGGTAGCACTCTTACTTTATGGTATCCAACGTTTCAGTCAGGCAAAGGAAAGAAAGGACAAACGGAAGTAATAGAACATTTTATACTCATCTTCTAAACGTTCTTTGCTCCTCGCTACCCTCCAGTCTCCTTTTCGTTCTCTTCGCTCCCCTCCTCGTCTACCCCTATTCTCCCAACCCACACACCCCTGCCAGGCATCCCGTTTTGACAAACAAGTTTGGGTTGAGCTGTCGTCATACCCGAGAGACTCTTGGATCTTCACTTTGATCCCGTGTTTCATACCGGATGGCTGCAGCCACATGGCAGCCCTCGCTCGGCTCGGCGCTTGGTACCTGCAGCTGCTGGTTAAGTCGTCAGGCCGCCGAATGCGGGCCGAACAGTAACACTCGGTTTACGACCTCGGTTCCCTGAGGCCGGCGGCGCTAAAGAAACACATTTGTTCGCACAGCACAGCAAGCAACGTCCTCGCCTGTCCTTGTCAAACAACCAACATGGGTCCGGCATTACACCCGAGAGTGTTGGATCGGAGTGTCTTGTGTACAGACCTAAAGGTCTTGTCCCACTTGAGTTTCCGACGAGACTCACTCACACAGTGGCTTCTCATATTGAGCGAAGTCTAGTTAAGCCCAGCCTAGGACCACGACATCATCGAAGAGCAGAATCTAAATAAGGTGACTTGTTAAAAGTACCACGCGTTCCTAGCTATAGGCCTTTGAGTTCCAGCTAACTTCCGGGTGACAATAACCCCAGCATCCTCTTGTTTGCGTACACATGTCGAATCCACAACTGTGGTTTATGGGGCATTGCGGGTGTTGTTTGCAAAGACTGTCGTGAGATGTGTCGTCAGCTTCCTCTACCCAACATCCTGAAAACTTTCAGCGACATCGGGGAGTGGCATCGGACAGACCAACGCCAAGTGTCTGTTGACCTGGTTCAAAACCGTGTTTGCTCTAATGCGAGACCCACGAGGAAACGTTCAGTAGCATGATCGGAAGTCCTGGCTCCGAAGTAAACGACAATTTCGAGGGTTTCCTTTCCCCTGAAACTAAAACACCATCATGATTGTAAGTCGGTCTCAGAAGGCATAACTCGGAGATAGACATCAGAAGGGGCTCAAGAAAAGAAAGCACCTGGCCGAGACTCGTGGTTACTCAGCGTTTGGCAGGCTCGGTCTATGCAGGAAGCCTAGGCAATCTCGATAAAGTACTTGACAGAGCCCATCCTTGCCTGTGTTCAACTCCATGTTTCACCCGTTGATACGAGGCACCGTCGTGAAAATGCCGGAGGCAATGCGTCTCTGATCGTCGGTCCGCTGGTTAGCCACATTGCAGTGTAGTGAGGTTCTCGAGGGAGTATAAAACCAGCCCGTCCGTTATGCCTGGAAAAGAATAGACACATTTCAGCGGACAGGCTCTCCGGCCACCACGTCGGCGACAGCACATCTGGCTGGCTCCTGCTTATCTTCGACTGCGTCAACGTCTTAACATTGTTTTGCATCTTCAACGACCAGAAGCCACCTCGCGATGCGTCTCCTCCCCTTCTTCGTCCCCTTGGCCGCCGCCGAAACCCTCGGCTCATGGACCATCTCGGCCCTCTCCCGCCGTATGTCAAGTCCGCTCACTCTCCTTCACCCCAACCATCTCAATCCTCCCCACTCCCCAATCAACTCACAAAAGGAACACAACTAACGCCCCGATTTCACACCCCACAGAATGCACCCCCTCCAACACAGCCTGCACCTACACCCTGACCCTCACCACCCCTTTCACCTCCACCTTCCCCGACCAGCAACAGCAACTCCAACAACAACAACAAACCTGCACCTTCACTATTACCTCCCCCGACACCGACCCAAACGCAGCCCCATCCTCAACCCCCGCCAGCCACACCTCCTTCACCGCCATCCCCTGCCACAACAGCCCCAACCCCGACAACACCCCCAACCTTAACACCCCCACCAATAACCCCAATTTCAAATCCACATACAGATACACACTCAACGGCGGCTGGGACCGCAGCTACACCTTCCTCACCCTGGTTCCCACCGACACCACCGACGGCAGCCATGCCTTTTTCGGGTATACCGAGGACGAGCTTGTGGGGGGGAGGGTGGTGGGGGTGAAGGAGGGGGTTGTTTATCGCGGGTGGGGTACCGAGTCTGAGTTTGAGGGTTCTGAGGCTGAGGGTTCTGAGCTTGGAGGTTCTGAGTTAGAAAGGGTTGGGGAGGGGGTGGGTGTGGATGTGGGTGTGGGTGTGGGTGGTTCTGGTGTTGAGGGGGGTTATGAGGAGGGTGGTGGTGGTGGTGGTGGTAGTATTGGGGCGGTTCTGCGTAAGAAACGGGATGATGGCCGGGGGAGGGTGCGTGCCGGGATGGGGGTGATGTCGGAGGGGAAGGGGAAGGAGATGGCCGGGGGGGGAGTGGAGAGGATCGGGAAGAGGGCTAGCGAGGAGGAGGGGAAGAAGTGGCAGATCAAGGGGCTGGCACGGTGTGAGTTTATTTGTTTCTGCCATCTTCCCCTCGCTGTGTCACGGCTGACAATACCTCAACAGTCCCCGACCAGGGCGCCAACACGACAACCTGGCAGTTCACGATCGTGCACACCGGCGGCAAGGAAACGCACTGCTCGCCGACGTCGCCCACCAGCGACCCCGTCGGCAGCTTCTACGGCATCCCCTGTGGTACGAACGACGGCGCGGACTTCAAAGCTTCGTGGGGGTACAACAGCGACTCTGACAGTGCCGTCATGACGCTGTGTTAGTAAGTGCCCCCTCAGACCACGCCGTCACTACCTACAATCTACAGAAACAGAGTTCTAACCATGACTAGCGTGCCACACGGAACAGACGCGTGGTTCGGGTTCGAGCAGGTCTCTCACAACCAGTGGCTTGGCGATTCTAAAAAGGAGCCCGTCTTTTATACGGGTTGCGGTTGAGGAGCAAAGCTGCGAGACGAGAGTCGAGAGTATTGAAGCACAAGGAGGCGCCTGTTGACTGACGTGGTTCTGAGGGAACTCCTTCCAGCCTGTCAGATTCTTTAGAACCTACGCAATGAGTTCTGTATGGGCGGTCAAGGCAAAAATCATTCGCTTGTCTATGGCTCTAATCTCGACAAGAAGGTATGAAGATGAACAAAACCCGGATAATTAGAACCCTCTGTCCGTGTGAGAAATCCCGCACCGGAGTGACGCAGGCAGCCTAGCCTGGCACAAGGTAATTATTCCTCGGCCTGTCGGTTCGGGCTGCCTCTCACTCAGGCTTCCGCCCATAGACAACCACCCTGTAGATCCAATGGTTAGCACGGCTCGTATATGACTCGGAAACGAGACTTACATGGGCCAATAAGCATGTATGCTTCGGTCCTTCAAGTCCTTCCGGACACCGACCAGAAAGGTTTCCACCTCGGTGGCCGACCAGCCCAGGATATTGGTGAAGAGCATTATACTGACCCCCTGGATACCGGAAAGAATGTTCTCCGAGGACCAAGCGCCTGTTAGCGGGTTAGTGAGAATCGTCTAAGTCGGTATGACTCTCCTACCTATCTCCTTGTGCTTGCTATCCTTGGCCCATGTGTTGATAGGCCACTTGTACTCAGTTTGGACCACATCCTGGAACCCGGCATCCAGTAGCTGCTGCTTGTATGAAGCTGCCGACTTCATGGAGGCCCCATGCTTCTCGCTTGCCTCGACCAGATAGCGGTTCCACTGCGCAAGCGGGGAACCCTCTGGTAAGCTGCCGTCATCGCATGATAGCGGCAAGACATCGGCCAGCTCGGCGTAGCCGCCCGGATTTAGGTACCTGAACGAGAACGTGAGTGTTAGCGAGGGGCTCTCCTAGACAGCGTAGATTGGTGTAATGAGAAATAGAAGCTCACTGGTAGAATTGCCCAATTAGCCTAGGCCAGTTTTTGATGGACCCCGTTAGCATGCGGGCATATATGAAGTCGAACTTGGTTGCGAAAGCCCAGTCGCTCTCGAGGTCGTCAACGAAAAATTCGGCATTGGGCGGGACGCTAGCTTCGTAAGCTTGATTACGGGTAGCGGTACGAGTAACTCACAAGGACGGTTGGATGGGGCTCAAATCAACGCCGACGACCTGGCAACGGTGAGTGGGCGATCCTATCACGCGGGGGGGCATAGAACACATACCGCTACATCGGGATGTTCGTCGGCTGGGGAGGGTTAGCAGCCTGCAATCAACATCAACACGGGGGAACGCACCAAATTCTATGGCCCAGATGCCGGTCCCAGTGCCGGCATCGAGAACTCGGTTGAGCGGCTTGTCCTTTCCAGCAGGCGAGAGAAACAGATGGTTGTCTTGACACAGAAGGAAGAGGTTGTGCTGGAGGTCTGGGTGCCAGTGAGCACGGTGAAGGCGGTTCCGCAGCCGTGGCGCTGACTTACCTAGGCGCTCATTCTCTGTCTAATTTGGAACCGTCAGCAGGTGAGGTTGAATGAAAAGTGGAAGTGTTTTACAACTTACTTCGTCATTGGGCAGGAAGTACGCGGCTTCTATGGGTTGTGGAACGTGTCAGCCAACTGGGTGCACAGCTGCATCCCGAAATAGCACTGACCGCTTGCCCGATAGGCATGGTAAGTACGGCCATTCTCCTCGCGGAACTTGAAGATGCTTGACGAGACGGATGTTGTGTCGCTCACACCGGTCTAAAAGCAGTAAGCACAACACATCCGAGCACATGCGCCAGCATGGATCAACAGGCTAGCTTACCGTGCTGAAAAGGGAGTCGACGTCGCTGTCACGCTCATCATCCTGTATATCACATCAAGATATCAGCGCTGTTCCCCTCCTTATCATGAGGTCGCTCACATCGGCTTCAAGAGGCCCAGTGTTGCCCGGTGGGCTCGCCGCGGACTGCGGGCTAACGGGGCCGGGCGAACCGGAGGCGGCCCGTGGTGGAGACGCTTTCGTAGCGCTGCCAGGGCTGGTGGGGCTTTTGGAGCCTTTCCGAGACGAGTCGCCCATGATCAACAACAAGGGGCTCCCTAGATGACGTCTTATTGAGCGCGTCGCAATGATTCAATACCGGCTATGGAATTGAATCCGAAAGATGGAGCGGTCGAGACGGGCGGCGGGCGGTGGGAGAACCGGACACATTTGAGTGAGCATCGATGGCGTGTTGAGGTCAAGGGCTTTTCTGAGTTGCAGGCTCGGCTGCAGATTGCAGGCCCGCAGCGGGTGGCTTTCCCGGCTCTTTCATCCGGTAGGGAGGGGTCGCCAATGGAGGGACCAGAACGTGGCCAGGTTCATGCGGGAACCAGGCATTGGTGCGTGGGGTTTGGCCGAGACTGCGACGTGTTGGTTTGAGATGCAGCATTTTTTGCAGGGAAACCAGGGAAAATTGGGAGAGACGTGCGTGGGGAGACACGGAGAGGTGCCGAGGAGGATGGGATTGCAGAAAAGAACCCCCAAGAGCTAGCCCGTTTGCGGGTAACTCTTCGTGCCTTCTCGTCAGGGAGTTGACAATATCACACCCCACAAGTTCTGGGCCGTCAGGTACCGAACGATACGGTAATTTATACATCCCCGATTGCGAATTGCTGGTCCACTTGATGTTTTTGGCTTCGTGTTACATCGTCCGATCTTGCCTTGAACTGCGCCTCACCTTCGATACTGACGCCGTAGAAACAAGATAAAAATACCCGCGCTTGTATTTTGGGACAACGCGTCTTATCCCGTCTATTGTGGACAAAATAGGGGTTATTCGCCTTAGAATATCCCACCTTCCTGGCTCCCCGCACGAAGTCTATTCATGCCCAACCTATACTTCACATCCTGTTACGCATCCTCTTACGTGTATTAGTAGTTACCGTCGACGGCAACATGAGGATCGGGTGTCTCCAGTTCGCACCAAAAGTGGGCGATGTACCAAACAACATTACGCGAGCCGAAACCGTCCTCTCAAGGGCAGACCCGGCCGACCGGGAGAATCTGGACCTCCTCGTTCTCCCCGAGATGGCATTTAGCGGTATGCGCATTTCTAGGCTCAGACGAGCAAGTACCTGACTGACTGGCCCTGTCAGGCTACAACTTCAAATCAAAAGAGCACATCTTGCCGCATCTTGAACCAACTGCGTCCGGTGTGAGCTCGCAATGGGCACGCACTACTGCACGGAAGTACAGCTGTACCGTTGCCGTCGGGTATCCGGAAAAGGCCGAGAGAGTGGGGGCTAAACCAAAGTACTACAACTCGCTAGTTGTAGTCGACAATAACGGTGAGAAGCTGGCCGATTACAGCAAGTCATTCCTGTACTATACAGACGCCACATGGGCCGACGAGGGGCGGGGCTTCTATGGGGGAAATCTGGGCCACCTGGGGCAGACTGCCTTGGGGATATGTATGTGATACCGTGATGCCGTTCCCCGCAGAAACCTTGTACTGACAACATAACCCAGGCATGGATATCAAGTAAGTATACTAAGAGTATACCATGCCGGGACCCGGCTGACAATGTAGTCCCTACAAATTCGAAGCACCCTGGGACGCCTACGAATTCGCCTTCCACATCCTGCGCGTGCGGGCGAACCTCGTCATCCTCTCCACGGCATGGCTGACCAACGACGAGCAACACGCCTTCTTGTCCAACCCAGAAGCGCCAGACATGAGCACACTCGCCTACTGGGTCGCGAGACTCGAACCAGTGATCCGGGCGCACAGCTCCGAGGAGACCATCGTGGTGTTCGCCAACCGCAGCGGCGTCGAAGACGAGGCCACATACGCCGGCAGCAGCACCGTCATCGGGATCAAGGACGGCGAGGTCACCGTGTACGGCATCCTCGGGCGCGGTGTCGAGGAGCTGCTGGTCGTCGACACCGACAACCCCCCATTCGGGAAGCTCGTCAACCGCAGCGAGGTGCCGGTGCCCGGCGAACCGGGCGCTCCTCCAGCACCACCGCCCGCAAAACAAGAAGAGGACCCAAAGGACGACGGTCCGCCGAAGGGCGCTGCCCCGGGCGCCGGTGGCGCGGGTTACGTCGATTCACCGACGCTGCCCTCAGGCTTCGCGCCGCGGACCTCAAACCACAACCACAACCACAAAACACACCACCACACCACCCCAACAACACCAATACCAACACCAACCTCCCAACCAAAACCGCCGACCCCACACCCGACCCAAGCTCTCCCTCCAAACCAACCTCCCCATCCCATCCCCCGCCGCGCTACCCTCACCCGACAGCGACAACGACAACGGCACGCGCTCACTATCAGCCATCCCGATCTTCGTCGACGTCTACACACCCGACGAGCCCGACGAGTCCGACCAAACCAACGGCGGACCTGCCTGGCGGGAGGATGGGACGGTCCGGTTTGGGTTTGACGACGCCCTCTCGCCGTGGAGTGTGGCGAGTTGGTGCTCGGGTTCGGTAGTGTCGTCGCCTTTGGGGTCGCATTGTGGGGGGTTGATACGTGTGGCGGCGAGTCCGAGTGTTTTTGGAGGGGGGCTGTTGGGGGGAGGAGGGGTTTGTGTTTGAGGTTTGAAGGGTGGGGATGGTATTTTGGGTGGGTGGATGATGATATGATCTGCTGTTGGGAAATGGGCATTTGGGTTGTTATGTGTGTGTGTGTATGTGTGTGCATGACTGGCGTTGCGGGTTAGGTTGTATGGGATAGGGGTATGATAGGGGCGTGGTGGCAAAATGAATGAGCTCGATCAAGAAGAATCGTTGGGAGGCTCACTACTTGGATAGGTCATGGTGTTCAATTGTGCTGGAATGTTCGTGGGACAAAAAAGTATGACTCGACTATGGCAAAAAGTAAATAAACCCCCCTATAACACCCCTGAAATGCCAGAAGGTGAACCAAAAGATAAGTCTAGCACCAGCTCGTTTCGATCGAGCGACCTCCGGGTTATGAGCCCGGCGCTCTTCCCCTGAGCTATGGTGCTTGTTAACTGCGTTTCTTGTTAGAATCGACTTGCGGCGGAGGGGTATATCTGCTTGCAAAAGTCCTCAATTTCTTTGTTGGAAACCGCGGTTGAGGACGGGAGTGGGTCATGATAGGGCTGTGGAACCCAATCACAGCCAGTCATTCACAGCAGCCCTGGACCCACTTCTAGGCGCTCCAGGTTCATGGCGAACTTACAAGATTGAGGACGGAAGGAGCTCAGGCAAGGGTGAGATTTGGGGGCGGGCAGAACAGAAGAGACGGGTAACTGAAATGAAACGATACTAAAAAAAACGAGAAAAATGGGAAAGAAAAGAAACTAAAAAAAATAGGCAAGAAAAGAAATGTTCAATGATATCGAGCTAACCACCTAGGCAAGCAGTACATACCATGCAAGACGCCTGCAAGCTCCGCTCAAAAGAGCCTCTCGCCAACCACAAGGCATTTTGGTCAAGGCACGAGAGTTTTGTGATGGACTCAAACCCCAAATTCGCATTCCACACTAGATAGTCATACACACTTTACGATGTTTCTCTACACCCAACACAAATACACGCTCAACAATGCGGACCGCCTGACCAAGACCCTTCACCAACCCGCCATGTATGCCCCTTCCCCAATGCATGCGCCGTCACCCCCAGACCCTATATCTAAATTACAAGAAGATAATACAACTCACCAAGCGATACACAGCTCACAACAAACCGCACACAAGAAATAAAAGAACTCCCCAGCCAGCCAGCCACCGTAACATAACAAAGCCCACATGCATCCTCCTTACCACACCACTTATCCCTCAACCCCCAACCCTACCCCCTCACCC